AAACCATCAATACCAAGTGCTTTGTTAAGGTCCATATCCCACAATGCTTGCTTGATTTCCATCTCTTGCACTGGCCTAATGAGGTTCTGATTCATATCATAAATGATGTATTTAGGCAGTTCTCTAAGCACTTATTCATCAAATTCAGGGTTTTCTGACTTAAAAGGCTTCTCATAAAACTCCACCACTTTTCTTACCACTTTCTCTCTGTTCTCACAATTACCACCATTTTGACTTAACCAAATTCTCCAAGTTGCTCCTATACTTCCTCTGTTTAACACAAGCTTAAAAGAACCTTGTGTTCTTATCCCGCTCCCATGTTAGTGTATATACTTAAAGCTTGGTTTTTTTAGTAATAAACACTATATTTCTTTTGAATGAGAATAGCGTTTAATTAAACTGTTTAATGTTCTAATGTTTGATATATGAATATTGTGGTCCATCACGGATACGTATTGGTTAATTGTAAAACATAAATAACTAGTTCACAACCTAGATGGAATTGAACAACCCATTGCAAACGGTTGTAGTGTTAATTGTACAGTCTGTCTTGACTAATTGGTTGCACTAGTGCGCTGCGTGCATTGAACGGATCCCAGAGAAGATAAGTTTGTTTTGAACTGATCGGTAACAAATTAGACTTCAGTTAATTATTGTGTACTCTTAACACGTAAGATATAAATATACACATGCATACAGTAGTTGTTGTTTTGATTCACCAAAAAGTGAGATCAATTTTTATGGATCAATAATCTAAAGTGTTTTTGGTAGTGATGATGTATGTATGGTGTGTTGTTCGATTATTTACGATCAACGTGAGCGATAGTCTGATGATGTCCTCGAGATGAGCTCAAGAAGGTTTATTATATTAAACTCTGCAGATGCATTACGTTCCGACATTGTAATAAAGCATTGAGTGGTACTAGTCTCGACACAAGAAGTTAATTAATATATTATTAGTAATTAATTACTGACGAACATTATATCTTAAACACGGAGAGATAAATCGAGTAATTATTATCGGAGCCTTGAAATGTAATTAGAGAGCCAAATGGGAAGATCAACGGTTTCAAATATGAGCATAGTGGGCTTGGCCCAAAGTTGGGCTCATATTTGGTAAGCCCATATTTGGCACCTCCTTAGGGTCCCTATTGTAGCCTATAAATACGAACCTCATGGTGGTAAAAATCATACTTGAGAACGTTGTGAGTTAGCCACCAAGACAAATAAATTGTGTAGAGGTAATACAATAGAAGTCCTAAGGTAAAACTGAGACATTCGAACTTGACCGTCGACTGTGAATGAGCGCCGAGCCCCTGCGTCCGACCGCCGCCTGTCCGCGTCCAAGCACCACCCGTGACCAGCAACTGTGCACGACCTGAGCGCGCTACAGTGATGTACGCGACGCGACCCGAGCAACCCACACGTCCTGCAACCGGCGATCCCCTCTGAGCATCTGTTTTCGATTCATGCGATTGACGAGCAATCAGAAGATACCCATAAATGAAAATCAAAAACAACTTAGAGCCTATGATTTTTCCAAGCCGTGAGTATTTGATTTTAACTCTAGTCCATTGCGCATAGGCTTAATCTTTGATAGACTTTAGGATCTATGACTTGCATAAAATACAACGTTCCTAATAGAACCCCAACAAGTAGTATCAGAGCACTTGGTTTAAGTCATGTTTTATATGAGCATTAATTAAAAGTGTTCAAGGTGCGTCTTATAATTATAAGATTATTATCATTGCATAACTCAGTTTTGCAGGCTTCACTGTTAACCCACTACTATGGCCTTGAATATAAGATTTTAATTTCATGTATGTTTTTAAAGCATCGAGATTCTCGAGAAATTTGAGGTTTGACTGCTTGTAATAAATTTATTCACACGGTGGGACACCGTATAGAGTTATTTTTCTATTTAGACGAGCATGTAAACCCATCTGTGGATCTATAATTTGTGTAATTTGTTTTGTATAAATTATCTGTTGTTGGTGGATGATCTCAGACAACCACGAAGACTAGCAGATGTCGACGACCGGCGACGGACTCACAGACCCGCACAGATGCAACCGAGCAAGGCCGCGTGAGGCCGTGGACATCCTATTGTCCCAGTGGCTCGGTCGTGCAAGGCCGAGCACTGGTCGCGACAGGTGCGTGCGATGCTGGGAGACGAGTCGATTGCCTCGAAGACAGTGGGCTGCTGCATGCATGGGTGAGCTCGGCAAGCCCGGTATGAGCGCAAGCGATGCCTTCTTGTCCCAGGGTACGTCTGCATGCTGCTTCGGCAGCAGCGCATGAACTTTCGACGTGAACTGGTCTTGTAGACACCGGGTGACTTACAAGGCATCGACAATGTGTTTCGCGCGGGCTCAGCCCCCAGGCGATGCTCAAGACCCAGCGCGATGGACCTCGGGCGGCCACGTGACCCGGCAACGCGTATGATGCGAAATTGCCAAGCGATCCGCGTGGCTGGTTCCGATAAAATGCAGTGATCCCGGGGGGATTATTCAGAATTTTTCAGTGATGGCGATGCGACAGTGGTGATGCAAAGATTTCGGCGAAGGACGCTAACTGGGACAAGAAGTTTGCTTCCATGAGAAGTCTTTTTCGATATGGAATATCTGTCCGAATAGGAAGAGATTTGATATTTTCATAACTGGAAAAGATTATTAATTAATGGCCACAGTATGATTTTTTTTCCATGTTTTATGATTTGCCATTTATTATGTACATATGCATGTGATTAATTAACACTGCCAAACATGCATGGGATTGTTTTGTTAATGTGGAAAGCTAATAAATTAATCAGATTGCTAAGCTGGCATGTGAATAATTTAATTGCATATTAAAAATCTTCATTTAAAATACTAAGTGAGAGAAAGAATTTTTAAAGTTCAGATAATTTTAAAATCCTACGGCCTTCATTTACTGGTTTGTCGGTGATGCATTTTAATTGAAGTGTGGACCACGACTAAACGAGGACACTATTGAAAACTAATTTGCGGGATCACAAAGATGAACTTCTGAGGGATGATTAGAGGAAATTGTGTTTAAAGGTACGAACCACGACTAAACGAGGACTACTATCTTTCATAAGGACCTCAGGATTTGGAAAATGGGTTACATTTAGATTGTGATGAGATTCATAACTCCACTAAAGGGGTCCTTGTTTCTTGTCGCATAGCCAAATGGAAACAAATTATTAATTTCATTCGCCATTAATTTGGTTTTGCTTTATTGAAATTAATGAGCTGCTCAAAACCCTTCTCTTACAAATGTCGAATACGTAAAGTTGCACAAAAATGGCATGCACTATTTTTGGTGTCTTGAGATGTCGTTAAATTTAACTTAATATTGTTTGAGGATATCAATGTTAAAGTTTAAATTCGAACTGTGTTTAATTAATACAAGATATTTCGTGATTCTCAGGATTCGTTAATTATTTTTTTCAATCGCTTTCGTCATTCTAAAAGAAAATTAACTTACTGGCCTCATTATAATTATTAAAGAAGGAACTTGGACATTGTTCCGACTATAGAAAGGCACAAGTTTGTACTATCTGAGAACTGTCCGAACGAGCTCACTGAGATGTCCACTGAGCTTGAGAAAGAAAAGTATGCGAGGTGGAAGAAGGTGACGTGATGTTCCTTCCATGCATCCTTTTCTCCATGGTCTCCAATACCTCCACTATATTCGACTTCAATGGAGGTGTATTATCATACCTCTGGCCATCTCGGATGGGTCGACCCTTCCAGCTATCTTCTCCCCCTCTATCCAACCTCTCCTTCTTTGGCGAACCAGCTCTATCCTTCTTAGTCCTAGGTTGAGAGTTTGTCTCCAATTTGGCAAACTCAGCCTTCGCCTTCTCCACATTGATGTGTTTGTTACACTTAGTTAAGACCTTGTCGTGGGTCATTGCTGGCTTTTTGGCCAACGATCTCCAGCACAGCTTGCTCGCAAGCCACTTGTCATTCCTCCGTCCTTGACCTTCTATGAGGCCGACGGAATCTCCACGCATGCTCGAGTATATCGACAAACGAAACTCCTCAACGTCTCTTCATTTTCTTACTACATAGCCATCAGCGTAAGGTATGTTTTCTTGTGCGATCTTGCACTGGAACATGCTCGCGAACTCCTCAATGTCCCTGATCGACCCCAGGGTGAGCTGGTGGAACCAATCTTGCGCTCCCCCCGTAAGGTTGCCAGAAATGCTCGACAGCCTCACTGCGTTTGAATACCCGTGTAACACTGCCATGTTTTCAAAGGACCTTAAGTGTCGAGTTGGGTCGGTAGACCCATCATAGGTGATGCTTAGATCTTAGAACCCATTTGGCAGGTCAGAATCAAGAATCCGCTGCGCAAACGGGTGACCTCGAGCTCTTCCGGGTTTTTTTCCTTCCACTTTGGCCAACAGCTCATTCAGTTGCTGGGCCATCTTATCCACCATAAGATCACAATATATTCTTCCACCAAAGTGCTCGACTGCTCGATCTCTGTATCCTTCTTCGTGTTCGAGATAATAGTGACCGCGTTGGACATCTCTTACTGCTGAGTGCATCAGGTCCCCCCTGCGTTTGTGATCCTCTTGCTCAAGTCCTCCTTCTTCATCATGAAAAGTTGTTGACCAGTTGGCTCTGCAGTACTTCTTGGTGACCCCATCGACAAGACGGCAGCTAGATCTAGTTGCGTCGGCGATGGAACCACGACCTCCTAGCTAGATCTGACCTCCGGTGGACTACTTGGGTTTGCTGCTGAAACAAGGGCCACCAATGAGCTGCCTAAGCCCATAGGATGAGGCATCGGGGTCATCAGGGTATGAGATGGCGGAAAGAATCCTGGTGGTGGACTTGCTCTGAGCAGACGTATGGTTGTCCACGCATCATCAATAGTCGGTTCCAAGTTTTTTCTGGGAATGTCGCTCGCCATGGATGGATCTTTCTGATGGCTTTTGGAACGATTTCCCACCGACTGTACCAAGTGGCCTATAAAAGACCTTAGATCAGCTTGGTTCGACTTGGATTGCCTTCCTTACCGGTTGATGACCTTCAATACTTGCACAAAGTCAACGCCAGAGGGGTTTTTCGGCATATAGCCTCCAATGGTAAAGTCAGAATACGAACGAAGACGATGAAAATTATATGAAAGCTCTGTAAGTATGTAGAATGTGTAGAGAATGTAATGTTGCCATGGGCATACCTCACCGCTTTATAGAGGGGTGTGTTACCTTGTTGCCCAAGACTGCCCAAACTGCCTGAACTGCTGAATTCAATTAGACCATGTGGTCTTATCCATGTGTGGTCCTTATCTTAAAAATATTCTTTCTTATCCATTAGTCTGCCTTATTAAACAGTCTAATCGTGTGATCAACCCAGATTACCTCGAGGTAGAATGCCGCCAGTGTCGAGCTCATATGCTTTGCTCATCTGGTTGATCCATCGACTAGTCATGCCTTCAGATCGAGTTTCTACCGGGCCATCCGAGGGCCCTTGCTCGACAAGTGTATGCTCCTTAATTCCAAGACGTCTTCGTCGACCTGTGGACTCTTCGACCTGCAGCGTCTTTGGTCTCTATTCAACCTGTCGGTTCACCTAGTTTGATCAGGTTGTTTCCCATATTAGTATTCTTCTTTTATTATTTTATATAATGAAAAACAAATTATGTACGTGAATATTATTTATTAATATAATTAATTTAATATGATGTAAATATATTTAAAATAAAATATTGTAAATATACAAACATGTGATTCTATACAATTTTTGGTATTATCGTATCTCCTAATAATTAGAAAAACAAATATACATATATAATACTAACTTGTGAAATAAGAGAGAAAACAATTCGGTCACATTGAGAGAAGTAACACATCGTAGTTTTATTTGTGCTAATCAACCAATTTATCAAATAGTCATCCTAAAGTTTTGTGGCCGTTATGCATCATATTTTTTTTACACATAAATTAAACAACTTTGATTTAGCAACTGCCAAAAAATATATCTCTTCTACAATCAAGAGATCTTTCTAAAAAGACTTTATAGTTTATTTAGTATATTATGCAATTAAAATATATATTACAATAATTTCATTATGGAAAGAAATAAAAATATAAAAAATTATACAAAAGAAATTAATCAGGATTTATAATAATATACAAATAAATCACATTTGAAAATTCTAAAGAATGGTTAATATATTTCCATTTAATTATATGTCCATGAGTAAAACTATTGAATGTATCTGTTCATTATTTATTCAATGGTAACATATTTTTTTTTTCCAACAATATCAAATCTCCATTCAAAATCAAAATAGCCGCCCAAAGGGCAAATGTACACAGAGGACGACCCCAAAACCTGGGTAACTGAGAGGAAGCATACAAGCTCCCTAAACATAATAAGAACAAACTACAAATTCAATCACCATAACAGCTATGAAAAGAACCATACAACAGACCACTTCGACCATATAACAATATTCAACAGCAAACACCAGAGCCACACAACCGGATCAAAATAGAACGATCACTGACACTAGACCTAACCTATCTATTAAGCATTCTTGGTATCATTTGGTGTTGTTTTGGTTGAAGTCCATCCAGTCCTTCACAGCAGCTTTGATGATCCAACCCTCAGACTGCCAAATGCCTTCAAACACCCAAAGATTTCTAGCTCTCCACAACCACCACAAAATATAAGTGGAGAGCTGAATCCTTACTTCAGAAATATCCTTAGTATCCATAGTACATATCCACCACCACCACTGCTTCACAGTCATCTGCTCTGTCTGCACTCTATTCCAACTGACAGGGGACAGTTGCCAAACCATTTTGGCCTTCCTGCATAGAAATAGGATATGCTCTTGAGTTTCCTCCTCCTCACCACAGACTCTGCAAGTTGCCTCCAACTTCATTCCTCTGTACAGCAGGTTACAATGAACAGGTAAAATATTGGAAAAACACTGCCACACGAAATGTTTAACCTTGCCCATCACTTTCAATGCCCAACACCTCTTTCTGGCTTGTCTGTTTCCCTCAGCAACTGCACTACTTTCAGCCACTGTTTTCATACAAATTCTGTCAGATAGCAATTTAGAATAAGCTTTTTTAACAGAAAATTTCCCTTTGCCAAGGAAAGGGCACTGCCAATGATCAGCAGCTCTAGGGTTCAGAGTTTTAATCAGCAAAATCCTGTCAGCATCTGCTTCAGTGAACAAAGCTCTAAGTAAATTAGTATCTCATTGAACACCACCTGCCAGCATTAGATCTTTAACCCAAAACAATCTTCCATCCACCTCAGTTCTCAATTCAGGCTTCTTACCACTCAGACCTGGCACCCAGTTCACCTCATTCAATCTAGTACTTTGCCCATTCCTAATCACTAAATTTACCTGTTTCTGCAAGTCAGGTAGGAATGTTGCCCATGAACTCCACAGCCAAGAAGCACTTCCAGTATTCCTCCATTCAAAGATAGAGCAGTCATTAAAGTACTTACTCCTTAGAACTCTACACATCAGCATATCTGGTTGCTCAAGAAGTCTCCATAGCTGCTTCAATATTAGTGCTTTGTTGAAGAGCTGAAAGTCCAGAAATCCAAGTCCCCCTTCCTCCTTAGGCACAGTCATTTTATCCCATGATAGCCAATGCATATTCTGCTTCTGAGACTGCCCCTTATTCCACCAGAATCTTGCCACTAGTCTACACACTTCTTTACAACAGCTAACAGGCAGCACAAAACAAGACATGACAAAAACAGGTAAGGCACAAAGCACAGACTTCACCAAAATTTCCCTCCCTGCAGTAGACAGAAAGGTGTTTTTCCAGCTGCAAATTCTGTCTTTCACAGCCTCAACCACATACTGGAAAGTTTCAATCTTTGAAGCCCCAATACCCAAAATCAGCCCTAGATACTTAGAAGATCTCTTCACCACCACCCCATCAAGAATAGAAGATATCCTGGCCTGCAATCCTTCAGTACAATTTTTGCTGATAAATAGAGAGGATTTGTGCAAGTTAACTTTCTGCCCTGTAAACTTTTGGTACTTGTGGAGAATTTCAAGTAGCAACTCTGCATGTATCTCATCAGCTTTACAGAAAATTAGGGCATCATCAGCAAACAGCAAATGAGATAGAACAGGACCATCCCTAGAAACTTTGATACCCTTAAACCACCCAGCATTAATCTTATGTTGCAAGAGAGCTGAAAACATCTCAGACACCAAAATGAAAAGGTAGAGGGACAGAGGGTCCCCCTGCCTAATACCCCTGGAAGAAGCAACATACCCACATATCCTACCATTCAGATTAAAAGAGAAGGTAGGGCCAGAAATACAACTGCTTATCCAATGCACAAATTTGCCATGAAACCCCATTCTACTCATAATTTTCCTAATACAATCCCACTCCACACGATCATAAGCTTTTTCCATGTCCAGCTTGACTGCCATAAATACATTAGGCCCAGATCTATGTCTATGCAAAAAGTGGAATATTTCATGAGCAATAATGACATTGTCCAATAGAAATCGACCAGGGACAAAAGCAGTTTGGGCTTGACTGATACAAACATCCAGACAACCTTTCAACCTCTCAGCCAGCAACTTAGCAATAATTTTATAAAGAACCCCACAAAGACTAATAGGTCTGTAGTTACTTAAGGCTTCAGGATACATACACTTAGGAATAAGAGTGATAATCGTGTGTTTCCAATTTTTCAATAAATGCCCAGTTCTGAAGAAACTACAGACAGCCTTGCACACATCAGCTTTAATAATATGCCAAAATTTTTTAAAAAAACAAGCAGACATACCATCATCTCCTGGGGCTTTCTCAGGAGCCATACTGAAAACTGCAGCCTTTACTTCCTCCTCTTCCACATGTCTGATTAAATCATTGTTGAGAGCATCAGAAATAGAGTGTGGAATATATTGAAGCAGCTCATCACCCCCACTAGACCCCTCTGAAGTAAAAAGGCCTGAATAAAAATTGGAAATATGCCTCTCCATAGCCTCATGAGTATCACATATATCACCAGAAGGGGTTTTCAGAGTGGAAATAAGGTTAGCTCTGCTCCTCTGTGATGTGAAAGCATGGAAAAACTTGGAGTTGCAGTCACCACTCTTAAGCCACAAAGCCCTAGATTTCACCCTCCAGTACCTCTCTTCCTCTTGATGAGCATTGTCTAACTCAGATTTTAGCACACTCCACTCCTCCCAATCCCTATCTTTACTCACCAATCTCAACTCTTCCAGTTTTGCTGTGAGAGTAGATATGACCTTTTCACTGTTTCTGTGGACTGGCTTGTGCCAAGCAAGAAGAGACATTCTAGTATGCTTCACCATCTGATGCACCTGATACATTGCAGAGCCTTCTACCTCCACTTGCCAGCCATCTTTTACTGCATCTTGCACACCCTCTATATTTGGCCACTGACTACTAAATTGGAATCTTTTGTGTCTCCTTTCCAACTCCTTATCAGTATCAAACAGAAGAACATTGTGATCAGAAGCTGATCTGTAGAAATTTGAAGCCACCATGTTGGGGAATTTAGAGCATGTTTGGATACAAAATTTTTCAAACAAATCCAAACATTTTTAACTCAACCACTTTTTTTAACTCAACTTTAACTCAACCCCACTATCATTAATATTATCAATATAATTAAATAATATCAATCAATCATTCTTACACACCACTTTACCTTAATTCATTATTCATCCACTCACATAATTTTAACTAACCATCACTTCAAATTTTCTCTCACCTACTTTACATCAAATCAACTTTAATCATTTTATTTTAAATATTATTTAATATACCCACTAACAACTAACCATACCAACTTTTTCAAAATTAACCAAACCAAACAAAAAAATCCAAACAAAACCAAAATTTTTTATATCCAATCATCCTCTTAACCCCCCACTCAAAGGACACAAATATTTTATCCAATCTCTCCTCCACATAGCCATCCCCTTCTCTGTTATTCCCCCAAGTAAAAAAAGATCCCAGTTGATCCACTTCTTGCATCTGCATATTAATAATAAACTCCTGAAACCCCACAAAGCTGCTATTTCTCCTTCTCACACCACCCCTTTTCTCCTCATTATCAACAATGTCATTCCAGTCACCAGCTACTAACCAACATGGACCCCATTGCTCCTTGCTATCTTCCAAAAAGGCCCACTGGTGTTCCCTTTCCCTTCTATCAGTACTCATATACACAAATGTCATCCAATACCAATCAGAGACCCATTCACCTTTTATTTCCACTTGAATGCAAAACTCATTCCCCAGAATTTGTCTCACCTCAGTAGAATTATCCCATAGTAATAGTAACCCACCTCTAGTGCCAACAGGTTTTTCCAAGTGCCATCTATCCATAAATCCCAGCTTTCTACAAACGGTTTGAGTAAATTTGTCAGATTTCTTAGTCTCAGATAGGAATATTATATTTGGGTGGTGGATTCTTCTAGAATCCTTAATCTGGGAAACTGTAGAGGGCCCACCCAGCCCTCTACAGTTCCACACCATGACCTTCATTGGTCACTCTGGGGCCAATTATGGCTGGCCTTCTCCACCAATTGAGCCCCACAGTTACCCTTCTTTCTCTTTTCAGACCCTGCATCATCAGCTTTATGGCCTCCTTCATATATCACCAACACTCTGCTTCTTTTAAGAGATACAGCCCTAAGCGGATCCCCAGATACTTTAGGTGCACTTCTTAGCCGACTCAGACTTGGTTCTGTCCTCCTCCACATGGCCCCAGTTCTCTTCCTCAGATCATACCTACCCCCAGATATCTGTCCTACCTCCATCAAGTCTGCTTTGTCCATAATCACCTCTTCTATCTCCATAAACTTTTTGCCCTTTTTATCACCAGCTTCATTCCCATCACTCTGCTTAATGTTGTTCCCACAATCATCTTGAGCCACCACCTCTTCATCTACAATAGTCATCCCCTTACCACCTACATCTTCATTGCTTTTAATATGTTCTGACAAGCCCACATTGGAGTGATTATTAGCAGCAACCAGAGATTCTCGAGTAGGACTTATATTTGGTTAATTATTTTTGTCACTTGAACTTTCAGTTTGCATACTTCTGCCACCTGCAAAAGTCTCATTTGATTTAAGCCATTCCCATATTGTCCATCTACTACACAGTCTTTGTCAAAATCATCCACCCTCTTGCTACAATTTCTTTCTAGGTGGCCAATCATCCCACAGTAATAGCATAAGTTAACAAGCTTCTCATATCTAAAGGCCACCATAACCTTCTCATTACCCAACTTGATAGAAGTACACCGAGGAATTGGCTCTTTAATATTAATGGTAACCAGTATCTTCAAGAAACTGCCAACTTCCCCACCCACTTTGCAAACAACCACATTCTTAACTTTGCTAAATATCCTACCCACTTTCAATCCAACTTCCGTACACATCCAATTCAGGGGCACATTCAACACTTGGACCCACAGATTAATTTCATCAAAACAACTATGCTTGCTATTTAGCCCATGGAACCATTCTTTAAGAATAAGGTATTGGTTCTCATACATCCAGTTGTGGCCTGCTCCAACTTTCTTCTTATCTTCTAGTGATAGGAAAATAAACTGGAAAAAATTAGCACTGATTTCCTTTACCTCCATCGAATGCTGCATTCTCCAGATGGCACCCATTGTTCTTTTTATTCCCAGCAGTCCTGCGTGCCTGTCACCCACAACCTTCCCAAATAGACTCCTCGAACACTCTTCCTCACAAGCTTTGATGTCATCACCTTTGATTTCAACCTCGCCTGCTTCTTTAGCTGACAAAGACATATGAATAAGATTACGCATAACACCATCCACCACCTCTCCTGAAGGGCCGCTGCCCGGTGATTTGCCTTCCATACCACTTCCGCCCACTATTCCAGCCTCCTATCTTCTAACCCTACAACCCTAATTAACCAAATCCCCAATCTACCACAATCAAAGACGATTACAAACCCCGACTCCCTCCCCAACAATTTAGAAATAGACCCCTCAGACAAGATCACACCTCTCTCAACGAAAGGGAATTTAGCTCTCACCCGAGAGAATTTCGCTCTCAATCAAGAGAATCTTTAATGGTAACATATATTAATTTGAATAATTATTTGTTTTTTTATAGAATTAGATAAAACTTATATTAATTTGATTGGTTAGTAAAACTATTTAATGTATCTGATCATTATTTATTCAATGGTAACATATATTACTTTGAATAATTATTTGTCTTTTTATAGAATTAGATAAAACTTAAGAAAAAATTATATTGACAAAGTTCAATTCATCAACTTGATTTCGCTTGATTAATTGGAAGGAACAAAAATTACCTAAACTATTATGATTTTCTATAAATATTTTATGATGAAAAGTCAATATTTGTGGAAAAAAAATAATATGGTTTGAACTTTAAATATGTTTTCATGCTTATCTTGGCTAATGTATAAGAGAAAAAAAATTGATTCTCTCATGGAGAGCGCACCTATTCTCTCATAGAGAGCGTTCATTTTTCGGTCAAAATATGGAATTGAACTTGTTTTAAACTTGTCTTTTCATTTTCCTCTTTGATTTTAGTGCTCTTCTCCATCTCCTGCGATAGTGTTTCCTATATTCAACTCCTCTTTGAATCCTTTATCTAGATTTGGGGCTTACCCCGATTTCTAGGGTTTCTGTAATTTGGGGATCGGCTTTATAATGGGCTCTTCTTCATGCATTGGTCAAGATGATGAACTGTCTCAACGTCTCCACAGATTCTCTTTATCAGAACGTGAAAAAGAGATAATTGATATTGCTCAAGATGATATAAAACCAAGTGCGAAAATTTGTCAATGAAGTCTCTTTGGAAACGTAATTGGCGACTGCAAAGCTAGCCATGAGCCACATCTGGAGACCTAATCAAGCTATGGAAGTAAAGGAATTAGGCCACAACTACTTTCAATTCATGTTTCAATGCAAGGAAGATAAGGAAAGAGTAGCAAAAGGCACTAACTGGAGCTTCGATAACCAGTACCTAGTCCTAACGGAGTGGTGTGATGGGTTGTCAATCAATCATCCTATCTTCCAAGAAGTCAGTTTCTGGGTACAAGTTTAGAACAACCCTCTCAACTGGCTCAGCACTGAGGTTGGAGTTAAGTTAGGAAAGGTTTTTAAGCAGCTTAAAAATGTTGTTGTGGTAGGCGCTGGTAGTCATGGCAGGCATGTTCTGCGGTTACTGGTCTCCATTGATACAAAAGAACCAATCCCAAGATGTGCTACTATTAGACTGGGATCAGCTGAATACAGTGAGCTTTAAATATGAAAAACTAGTGAGTATGTGCCATTATTGTGGCCTTATAGGGCACTTAGACAGAAGTTGTACAAGGAGACAGCAAGACATCATCTCTAAATCTCTGAAAGAGGGTCAATACGGTGATTGGCTTCGTGCCCCAGAAGGACAGAATTGGGCAAACCTGAACTCATCTGGATCAAAATCCCCCCTTTCTTCTAGTCCTTCCACCCCAATTCAGCAATCTCCGCTAAAATCTTCCAAAAGTCAGGCTGAGGGAAGTAATCAAATCATAGTGTTACAAGGGGAATCTTCTCGCAAACACTGTCAAGAAAAAGAGGACTCATCGGCTCAAAATTCACATTTGGCTGCTAGGGATCCAGTAGGAACCATTGTGGATACTAATTTGCAAATTGTTGAAACATCTAAGACTATGGAAATAGAGGCAGCTGCAATTGGTGAGCCTGTTCATTCTTCAGCTCCAATGAAAAACCTTAGCCTCATAGCATCCACTTCAGCTGGGGCTCTCAAAACATGGAAAAGGGATAGAAGCAAAGATGGAAGACTTCAAAGGGAACTAGTCACTACAATAGTCACTGACAAGGAATTGTCAGGCAAGAGACCAAGATCAGAGGGAGAAACTCAGACAGATCTTCAGAATGAACAATCTCCTGGTCAGTTGGAAGGTAAGAAATTGTAGCTATTCTCTGATAAGGTGGGGATTGCCAGCCTCGAGTGGCACCACAGTGACCAATGTTAGCTGTGGTGTGGAATGGTAGAGGGCTGGGTGGGCCCTCTACAATTTCCCAAATCAGAGAGTTAATTAGAACTCACCACCCCCTTTTTTGTTTCCTCTCTGAAACTAAAAATCAGAGTGCTTTTGTTAAATCAGTTAGTAAAAAGCTTGATTTTGAAGATAGATTAGCAGTTGTGGACCCTTCTGGTCAAAGTGGAGGCCTTCTTCTTCTCTGGGATCCATAAGTTACCATAATTCATATTATTAGCAGTACTTTTTATTTAGCAATTCATTTTCAAACAAATAACCAAGACCCCCAGTGGGGCATTTTTGTTTACCTTAGTACCTGCAGAGTATCTAGAGCTCATCAGTGGCAAGAATTGATACAGGCTAAGTCATCCTGGGGCTCAAATTGGTTTTCAATAGGGGACTGGAATGATATCTGCTCTCACAATGACAAGACTGGTGGCATTAGCAGAAGTGACTTGAGTTTCCAAGGGTTCAATAATTTCATTCATCACATGGAAATGATTGAACTCAGCATGGGTGGCTATCCGTTCACTTGGTGTAACAACAGAGCTGGTTCAGGGCTAGTTGAGGAAAAACTGGATAAGGCATTTAGCTCTTTTGAGTGGCTCATCAATTTTCCTAATGCCTCAGTCACAAACATTATCAGAAGCTCTTCTGATCACTCTGCTCTTCTGCTTGACTGGGGTCTTTCCAAAACCAGGCAGAAATCAAGGTTTCATTTTGACAAAAGATGGATTGACAAAGAAGGGTTTGAGGAACTTGTGAAGGAGACTTGGCTCACTCCAGTGTCTGGCACTCCATTCTATGCACTGAAGGAAAAAATCAAACTCACACGGCTGGCATTACTCAAATGGAGCTCCTCTTTTAAATCCCAGAACCAAGCCAAAATTGATGAGCTTACAAAAAAGCTGGAAGTTTTGAATTTGAATAAAACTGGTGATCACTGGCAATTGTGGGAAGACACTAAAAGAGAACTTGATGCAGCCCACCTACAAGAAGAGCTTTATTGGCATCAGAAATCCATACACAAATGGCTCAGGGAAGGTGATGCTAACACTAAATTCTTTCATGCCTACACCTTACAAAGAAGAAGGAAAAATGCAATTACCAGGCTGCTTTCAGCTGAGGGCAGAGTGATATCAACTCAGAGGGACATTGAACTTCACATTGCAGATTTCTATTCTCATCTCTTCAATTCTGAGGGCAGTTGGGGTGGGGACTCTCTCATCTTCCTTATTCCCACAACCATTACAGCTGACATGAACACTGCCCTTCTAAAGCCAGTCACTGAGAGGAGGTACATGATGCTCTTTTTTCTCTCAACCCAGACAAAACTCCAGGAGAAGATGGTATGAGTGCTCACTTTTATCAACATTTCTGGCCTCTTATCAAATTTGATCTCTTTGATGCCATTGCCAGTTTCTTTCAATCTGGCCATATGCTGAAATATTGGAACCACGCCATTCTTTCCTTGATCCTTAAATGCGATAATCCAGCCAATTTAGACCTATTATTAGTTTATGCACAGTGGTTTATAAAATTCTCTCCAAGGTGCTAGCTAACAGACTTATGATTTGCTTGGACTGTTGCATTAGTTCTTATCAGTCTGCATTTGTCAAGGGGAGACAACTTTTTGATAATGTTATCATTGCACAAGAGGCCTTCCACTTTCTCAATAGGAATTCTTCTGGAAAAAATTTCTTCATGGCTCTTAAGCTTGACCTTGTTAAGGCCTTTGACAGAGTGGAGTGGATTTGCGTTAGAAAAAATTATGGTTCAGATGAGTTCTCATTTGGATTTTGTGAAGCTGCTTATGGTTTGTGTATCCTCTGCATCATTTTCCTTCAAAATCAATGGAGCAGTAACTGGTTTTGTCAACCCTTCTAAAGAAATTAGGCAA